TCTCACCCTCCCGTGCTTCTGACTGTACCCAGTGCTTGTATAAATAAATAAATCTTAAAAAAAAAAAAAAAAAAAAGACACAACCTGTGAAGCTGTCCGCAGCCACTGCAGCATGAGTTCGAGCCACTGCAACATGAGTTCGATCCCCGGCCACGGAGAAACCCACATGGCGCAGCAGACCTCTCCTGTCTTGCCCACTGCTCCCTCAGCAGTGTATTTCAATCAATCTACCTGTTCTGTTCCCCACTCTGTCTCTGATGAGTCCTCTCACCACCCATACCTCTGGCCTGTACCCCAGTCCTTGTATGCATTAAAAAAAAATAAATCTTTAAAAAAAAAAAAGAGGAGGAGGAGAAGCAAAGCAGCACAGTGAAGTACAACCAATTTCCAGCTTTCACCAATTAACCACTGAATTGCTGTTTTTCCTTTTGGCCACAAAGCTAGATCTCTGGTTCCCCTATAATAATTGTCCTCATGTGAGATAGTTATTCTGGATGAAAGAAGGGCTTCTGTGTTTACAGGGTAGTTGTAAGAAGCCAGTTTGTTTTAGATTGCTAACTGATCTCCGTTGCATGGTTGTAAATTCCTGGATTATAGTTTAAAGTCTCTGTAGCCATCTGTGTGAAGAACAATGTATCTTCATTAAACCTACTTATCAACAACAACAAAAAAATTTCAAAGTGAAAGGGAGGGCTATGGACCTTACAGAAACTAAAAGGATTGTTTGTTTTTTTTTTTTAAAGAGTCATTTATTTATACAAGAACCGGGGTATAGGCCAGATGTGCGGGAGGGCGAGAGGATTCACCAGAGACAGAGTGGGGAACAGAACCGGCAGACTGACAAAATACACTGCTGAGGGGAGCAGCAGGTGAGACAGGAGAGGTCTGCCACGCCATGTGGGACCCTTGCTGGCCGGCTGGGATCGAACCTGCGCTGCAGGGGCTGTGAACAACTCAACAGCACAGTACTCAACCACCTGCATCACCAGGGAGGCCCAAAACTAAAAGGATTGTTAAGGGAATACTTAGGAAAACTTTTTACAAGTAGATGATAAAGTGGACAAACTCCTAAAAAACCCAAAATACCAAAATAAACTCAAGAAGAAATAGAGAGCTGAGGTGCAGGCCACAGATGGGGGGGAAGGAGGGATGAGAGGATTCACCAGAGACAGAGTGGGGAGCAAACAGGTAGATTGACTGAAATACACTGCTGAAGGGAGCAGTGGGCGAGACAGGAGAGGTCTGCTGCACAATGTGGGTTAGCTCCCTGGCCGGGGATGAACTCATGCTACAGTGGCTGTGGACAACTTCATAGTGTTGAGACTTAAGCCCTTGTGCCACAGGGAAGGCCTTAAGAAGAAATTCTTACAAAGTTTTTTTTCCATGAAGGAAGGTTTCACTAGTGAATTCTACCAAGTAATATCAAATCTGCATATATTCTTCCAGAAAATAAAATCTAAATCACTTTGAGGCCAGAAATGCCCTGACAGGCATGAGGAGAAAACTATAGGCTATATTCCTCATGAAGACACAAAAATCCCAAAGTATCTACAAACTGAATTCCACAACAAATAATACAGGTTACAACTATGTATGACCAAGTAATATTTCAAGAATGCAAGGTTGGTTTAACAACTAAAAATCAATTAATATATCATAGTAACAGAATAAAGAACACAATCGTCTCAATAGAAGCAGATGAAACACTCTGAAAACATCTAATACCCATTTTATGATTAAAAACACTTAACAAACTAGATATGGAGAGGAACTTCTTCAACCTGATAAAGGGCATCTAACAAGATACCTGCACATCATATGTAATAGCTCAATAATGCTTTCACCCTAAGTTCAGAAACAGGCAAAGATGTTCACTCTCATTACTTCTATTCAACATAATAGCCAGACTAGACAATCAAGAAAAGTAAAAGGCATCTGTTTTAGGAAAAAAGAAAAACTAGCCCAGAAAGTTTGAAGAATACAAGATCAATATATAAAAAAATCTATCTTATTTCTACATACTAGTAATAAACAACTCAAAAATCAAAGAAATTTCTTAAGGAAAAAATTTCATCATATCAAAAAGAATAAAATAATAAATTTAACAGTCAACATAAGACTCATATATTAAAAAACTACAAAATATTGAAAATTAAAAACAAATATTTATGCTCACTGAATACTGTCAAGAGAGCAATTCTTCTCTACTTATATATAGGTATACATATATACATATAGGTATACATATACACATATACATATAGGTATACATATATACATATTTGGGGTTTTTTTAAAACTGATTTATAGATTCAATGCAATCCCTATCAAAATCTTAGTTGCTTCTTTTGCAGATGTGGATGGACTGGTCTAGGAAAAAACAAAACAATCTCAAAAAGAACAAAGTAGAAGGAATTATACTCCCCAATTTCAAAATTTAACTATAATGTTACCATAATCAAGAGTACTACTGGGCCTCCCTGGTGGCGCAGAGGTTGAGCGCTGGGTTGCGAGGCTGCCCAGAGCCTCTGCAGCACCGGTTCGATCCCCGGCCACCGGTTGAGGGTCCCACATGGCATGCAGACCTCTCCCGCCGCCCACTGCTCCCCTCAGCAGTGTATCGTCAGTCTGCCTCTTCTGTTTCCTGCTCTGGTGAATTCTCTCACCCTCCGGCACTTCTGAATGTACCCAGTGCTTGTATAAATAAATAAATCTTTTTAAAAAATAAAAATAAAAAGAGTACTACTAAGGATCAATATATGTTAATATATATTCCAAAAATATATATATTCCAAAAATAAACTCTTTCATGTAGTCAACTGATATTCAACACTAGTGCCAAAGCCAGTAGGGAAAATACTGTCCTCTCAAAAAATAACACAGGGACACAGAATAAACATACACAAAACTTAATTTAGACCCTTCTGTTAATCCATATGCAATAAGTTAACTTATCACAGATCTAAATATAAGAGAGAAAACTCTTAGAAAACACAGGAGCACATTTTCATCATCTTGAGTTAATTATACCATTTCTTTGCTATAATACCAAGAACATAAGTGATACAGGATCAAGAAACTGTACTTATAATATATAAAGAACTCTTACAAATCCATAGGGAAAAAAAAATTTTTTTAAGTGGGCAAAAATTCTGAATAGGTATTTCACCATAGAAGACACATGAATAGTCAATAAACACTTGGAACAATGTTTAATATCATTAGCCATTAGGAAACTACATATTGAAATCACAATAATACCACTTCACACTCACTAGTACAGTTATGATCAGAATGAAAAGGAATAACAAGTTTTGGCAAAAATGAGTAAAAACTGGAACCCTCATGCATTAATGTGAGAATGTAAAATGGTGTAACCATTTTGATCATTTCTTAAAAACACAAACATAAATTTGGGCCTCCCCAGTGGCGCAAGGGGTTAAGTCTCAGCACTATGAAGCTATTGGCAACCACTGTGGCACGAATTCGATCCCCAGCCAGGGCGACAACCCACACGGCACAGACCTCTCCTGTCTCGCCTGCTGCTCCCCTCAGCAGTGTATTTCAGTAGATCTGCCTGTTCTGCTCTGTCTCTGTTCCTCCCTACTGTCTCTGATAAATCCTCTCTTCCCCCCCCCCACTCCCCCGCACCTCTGGCATACACCCCAGCTCTTATATGCATAAATAAATAAATCTTAAAAAAAAAAAAAACCTACACAAACATAAATTTACCACATAACCCATAAATTTCACTTAGGTTCCTCTCCAAGTGAAAGAATGTCATTCTGACAAAAACTTATACATGAATGTTCACACCAGCACTATTCATAATAGCCAAAAATTTGAAATAATCTAAATGTTCACTAGTGAATAAACAAATTCTGGTACATCCACACAGTGGATACTCTTCAGCAAAAAAATGGAATGAAATACTAATACATGCTACAACATGGCTGAAACACTAAATCTTGCCAAGTAAAAGAAGCCACATAAAAGACCAACTATACCATTCTGTCCATGTGAAATACCCAGAAAGGGAAATACATGGAGACAGAAAATAGACCATTGGTTATCTGGGGCTAGAGTGGTAATAAGGAGCAAATGCAAATGGGCACAAGCGATCTCTGCTAGGCAGGTGGCATAACAGTGTAAATTTACTAGAAATCTTTTAACTATACACTTAAATAAGTGAGCTGTAAGATATGTAATTTCAGGCCTCTCCTGGTGGCACAGACGGTTGAGCACAGCGCTGTGAAGCTGTCCGCAGCCTCTGCAGTACCAGTTCGATCCCAGATGGCCAGCAAGGGTCCCACTTGGCACGGCAGACCTCTCCTGTTGCACCCACTGCTCCCCTCAGCAGTGTATTTCAGTCAGTCTGCCTGTGCTGTTCCCTGCTCTATCTCTGGTGAATCCTCTCACCCTCCTGCGCATCTGGCCTGTACCCCGGTTGTTGTGTGAATGAATAAATAAATCTTAAAAAAAAAAAAAAAAGTAATTTCAATAGTTATCCTTTTAAAAAGAATCTAAATTCCAACTACAAAAAGACTTACCATCTTTTTTTTTTTTTTTAAAGATTTATTTATTTATTCACACAAGCACTGGGCACAGTCAGAAGCGCAGGAGGGTGAGAGAATCCACCAGAGCCAGAGCAGGGAGCAGAACAGGCAGAAGGACCGAAGTACACTGCTGAGAGGAGCAGCAGGCGGCAGGAGAGGTCTGCGCGCCATGTGGGACCCTCCTCCGGTGGCCGGGGAGCAGCCGGGGATCGAACCGACGCTGCAGAAGCTGCGGGCAGCTTCGCAACCCAGCGCTCAACCGCTGCGCCACCAGGGAGGCCCCAAGACTTACCATCTTAAGAGCAAAAAATTCTTATTGTTCCATCTCATACTTAACACAGCACTCACCAATCAATAAAATGTTAAACTGAAAAATGAACTTGCCATGACTGAATGGTTTCCTGAAAAGTAAAACCTAAAACAGTCCTAAACAATTTTACTTACCAGAAATTTGTTTAGAGCCTGATGATCCTCCATGTTCTAGCTTTGCCTTCTTCTTCTTCGATGATGATGATGATGATGATGATGATGCTTCAGAAGATACTGGACGTTTTTCTACCACAGGAGTAGAAAGAGCTCGTTTTTTGAATAACTCCCGTTCTTTCAGCAGGCTTGGATCCATAATGCTGCAAAGATTAAAGAAAAGATTACAAACATGTATCTTTAATTCAGATTCAAGTCATTCAAACCTACATACCAAATCCATAGATCTGTTAAGATTTCCCAAACAAAACAACCTTTTATTAATTCTCTAGCACTTATTGTTATTCACTCACTCAAAAAATAACATATGCCTATTATGAGTCAAGCACTGTGCTAGAAAAAAGAAATAGGATTATTCTCTAATGCTCTAAAATTAAGTTGCGCAACACTGTAGCCACTGGCTATATGTGCCTACTGAGCACCTGAAATGGGACTAACACTGAAATGCAGTCTATGTATAAAATACTTACTTTTTTTTTATAGAGGCATGTTTTATTTATTTATTTGTTTGTTTGTTTTTTGTTTTTTTTTTATACATGCACTGGGCACAGTCAGAAGCACGGGAGGGTGAGAGAATTCACCAGAGCCAGAGCGGGGAGCAGAGCAGGCAGAAGGACCGAGGTACACTGCTGAGGGGAGCAGCGGGTGGCAGGAGAGGTCTGCGCGCCATGTGGGACCCTCCTCTGGTGGCCGGGGAGCAGCCGGGGATCGAACCGGCGCCGCAGAGGCCGCGGGCAGCTTCGCAACCCAGCGCTCAACCGCTGCGCTACCGGGGAGGCCCCTAAAATACTTACTTTTGATATACAACATTGAATTAGCCAAGGTGTAGAACATGCTTTTCATAGATATTGTGACATGACTACCACAGTAAGTTTAATTAACACCAATGATCAGTTAATCTTTTTTCACAGTGAAGTTTTATGATCTACTCTCAGCAACTTTCAAATACATAGTACAGTACTGTTAACTTTAGTCACCATGCTGCACACATCCCCAGAACTTGTTATCTTATGGAAGTTCCTATCTTTTGACCACTCTCACCCATTTCTTCTCCCCACCACGGCTTTCTACATCTTTTTAACCATCAGTCCACCGTCTGTATTTTTCTGTTTTTTTAGAATCCACATTTAAGTCAGTTCAAATAGTATTTATCTTTCTGTCAGGCTTATTTTACGTAATATAATGTCTGCATGGCCATCCAAATGGCAAAATACTCAGGTTTTTCCCATGCCATGGCTATTGTATACAATGATGTTGTGAATATGGGGGGTAAAATTCTTTGTTTCATTCACCCAAAGGTGAAACTGCTGGGTCCTATGGTAGTTCTAGTTTTTTGGGGTTTTTTTAAGATTTATTTTTTATTTATACAATAGCTGGGGTACTGGCCAGAGGCGCAGCAGAGTGAGAAGATTCACCAGAGACAGAGTGGGGAACAGAATAGGCAGAAGGGAGGCCCCTAGTTTTAGTTTTTTGTGAAATCTCCATACTATTGTCCATAGTGGCTACACCAATTTACTTGTCACCAACAGTGCATAAGAGGTCCCTTTTTTCCACATCCTCACCAGCAGCTAGTTATCTTGTCTTTTTGATTAAATGGCCATATTAATAAGTGTCGGGTGTTATCTCAGTGTCTCTTTCATATTTCACTGATGATTAGTGATGATGATCACCTGTTCATGTGCCTGTTGGCTATCTGCGTGTTTTCTTTGGGAAAATGTCTATTCAGTTCCTCTGCCCATTTTTTAACTGGATTGTTATTTTGCTATTAAGATGTATGAATTCCTTGTATTTTTAGTATTAACCCCTTACCAGGGAGGACAATTTGCAAATATTTTCTCCCATTCTATAGTTGCCTGTTTTTGTTAATGGTTTCCTATGCTATGCAGCTTTTTGGTTTGATGATTTTGCTTTTCATGTCAAATCCCAAAAATAACTGGTAAGACCAAAGACAAGAAGCTGATGCCGGTTTTTTTCCCTAAGAGTTTTGTGTTCAAGTCTTTTATCCAATTTCAGTTGATTCTTGTGCACAGTATCAAGTCCAGTTTTTCCCATAACATTTACTGAAAAGACTATCTTTTCCACAATGTAAATTCTCAAATCATTTGTTGTAAATTCATTATCTATGCATGTCTTTATTTCTGAACCCTCAAAACTATTCCATTGACCTTTGCACTAGTTTTTATGTGAATAGATATTGTTTTTAAAGCTGTTTGAAAGCAAATAGTTTGAAATCAGAAAGTGCGAGATCTCCAGCTTAGCTCCCCTTTCTCAAGACAGCTTTGCTTAATTAGGGTCTTTCGCGGTTCCACACAAAATTCAGGACAGTTTTTCTATTTGTTTGGAAAAAAAAAAGTGCAGCAGAGATTGCACTGAATCTATGGACTGCTTTGGGTAGTGTGGATATATTAATTCTTCCAGCCCATGAGCACAAAATCTCTCTCCATTTATTTGTGTCTTCTTTGATCTCTTTCCTCAATGTCTTACAGTTTTCAATGTGCAGAGGCTTCACTTCTCTGGTAAAGTTTATTCCTAAGTATTTTATTCTTTTTGATTGTAAATGGAATTTTTTAAGAATCTCTTTCACATCCTATTTTAAAAGACTTGATACCCAAAAAAAGAACTTTAAAATTACAAATGAGATATTTTACATTGATTATATGTTGACTTAATGCATTCAATGTGCTGGGTTAAATACTAAAATTAATATCCTTTAATTTTTACTAGGCTTCTAGAATATTTAGAAGTACATGTGTGGGTCCTCCCTGGTGGTGCAAAGGATTAAGACGCAACCTATGAAGCGGTCCACGGCCACTGATGCACAGTTCGATCCCCAGCCAGGGAGCAGCCCACATGGCACAGCAGACCTCTCCTGACTCACCCACTGCTCCCCTCAGCAGTGGGTTTCAGTCGATCTCCCTGTTCTGTTCCCCACTCTGTCTCTGGTGAATCCTCTCACCCCAACCCCACACCTCTGGCCTGTACCCCAGTTCTCATATGCATCAATAAATAAATCTTTAAAAAAAAAAAAGTACATGTGTGCTTCTCACTTGTAGCTCATATTACATTTCTATTCAACAGTGTTCTTCTATAGAAACACCATCAGGACTACCGGGGCAAAATTAACAAGCAGATTAGGCTCAGTGCCCCCAAAACAGACAGCCACTAGAACCGCTTATAAGATGATATATTTTGAAACAGGCTGAGGTATTAAGTGAAGACACTGCATTAACATTTGTTGAAAATGTCTACAGAAAATTCCTAATTGGGAGGAAGGTGAAACTAAATGACCTCTTCAGACCCCCACCTCCCCATTTCTAAAACTCAACTATTCTAAGCAACTTTAGTACAACCAGGGAAGCCACAAGGTCAATCAACAAAAAATTTTAAGAACATTCCACTCTTGTTTGAAGTCTCTCTAAAAGCCTGTAGCAAGTCCAGGAAGAACTTAAGCTACCTACGTTAATGAATTTTACAGTTAAGACTACTATTCATAAATCAGGAACGAAACTGGAGATAACTCCACTTCATACTTTGGAAGGCTTCAAACACAGGCTAAGTGGCTGCAGCGGCAGGATGGCTCAGGGCAGGATCTCTATGATCGAGCAGATGGGTGAAGGAGGAGTCCTGAAGCCCTCAGTGGCTTTTAAGGCTTTTGTTGGGATTTTACTGGGTACACAGCAGGCAGGGGTGCTGGGGGGTGCTGGGAGACTGTCAGGCCTCCCAATCCCCAGCAAGTCTTCACTCATTCTGGGCTCTCCTGTGTTCTCTCGTGGCCTCTAGCTTCTCTCTCACTCTGCTGTTTCGTTCTCCTCTGGTCTCTCTGTTGCTCTCTCTCGTTCTGCTGGCGTCCCCATGACGCCGCCCTTATAAGCCCAGTCTCAGGCCAGGTGAATCCCATCTACCTATGCCCACACCCTACTCCAGGTGCCCGCCATCAGGCATGCATTCAGGACCGCAAGGATCCATCATCAGTCTTAATGACGGGAGGGCAGAAAAGCCTGATACTTTTTTTATCTTACCCTACAGTGGCTCAATAAACTATTTGTCAAATGAGTAACAAATGGAAAAACATCTCTAAATTGATCCAACCTCAATTATTATTGGTTTCACAAGTTTATTAAATGTCTTCTGTTTGTGAGGCATTATGCTCCAAGTTTTCAAAGATTCTGGAAGATAAATCCTTGCCTTCAAGCAGATCACCTCTGAGAATATGAAAGCACTGAGCACCTTGCTTAAAAATTAATCTGTGTGACTTGGAATGCTAAAAATTTTGAATATAAGATTGATAATCAGAGTAAATTTCAGTCAAGTAAGGAATAGAGTCACTGGACAGGTAATCAAAGACCAGCCTTCTCCCTTCCCTCAGCTGTAGTCCACTACTGGTCCATGACCCCAAGCAATCCACTACCCCTCTCTAAATTCTACTTTATCATAAGTAAAATGAGGATACTACCAATGCTGTCTAGATTAGACGGATGAAAAAAACGAGATTTTTTTTAAAAAAATAGTAAAGTTGGGCCTCCCCGGTGGCGCAGCGGTTGAGCGCTGGGTTGCGAAGCTGCCCGCGGCCTCTGCAGCGCCGGTTCGATCCCCGACTGCTCCCCGGCCACTGGAGGAGGGTCCCACATGGCGCGCAGACCTCTCCTGCCGCCCACTGCTCCCCTCAGCAGTGTACTTCGGTCCTTCTGCCTGCTCTGCTCCCCGCTCTGGCTCTGGTGAATTCTCTCACCCTCCCGCGCTTCTGACTGTACCCAGTGCATGTATAAACAAAACAAACAAACAAAAAAAACCAGCAAACAAATAAATAAAGCATGCCTCTATAAAAAAAAAAATAATAAAAAAAAAAAATAGTAAAGTTATACAAATATTATTTCAGTATTACTACACTGAACTGGCTCTAAAAAGACATTAACAATGGTTATACTGGGATGAGGAAAGTAGGGGACAGTCTTGGAGAAGGAAATGGTGAGGACTAGAAAATGGAGAGAAGTCACAATTAATAAAATGGGGACAACAAGCAATTTGTAAACTCCTAAAACAAGAAACATCTGTATTTATTTTCACCTTATAAAGGCAGGTAATTAATCTGGGCTTTTAATGATAATTTTAACACAGTTTAAATAAAGCCTTACAGTTTGCAAAGACCTAAATGTTTCTGGTGTTTGATCCTCACAATTCAATAACAGATGTTAATTTTATTATTCTTACTTTAACATGCAAAAATCTAAAGTGAAGGGGTACTATTAAGATCACACAGTTCTCCGGACCACTGCCAGGATCCGAATATCTTAACTTTTAAAATCAAGTATTCCTTTCACCAGACCTGCAATGCTGGTAAAGCGCTCTAATAAAACAAAGGAGACCTGTGTTTTAAAATGAACACACATGGCCTTCCTGGTGGAGCAAGGGGTTAAGAAGCAACCTATGAAGCTGTCTGCAGCCTCTGCATCAGGAGTTGGATTCCCTGCTGGGAGCGACCCACATCGCGCAGCGGACCTCTCCTGAGGACCTCTCCTGACTCACCCGCAGCTCCTTTCAGCAGTGTATTTCAATCTGCCTGTTCTGCTCCCCACTCTGTCTCTGGTGAACCCTCTCACACCCACACCTCTGGCCTGTACCCCAGTTCTTGTATGCATAAATAAATCTTTAAAAAAATAAAATGCACATACAATGATTGTGTTTAAAGCAAGGCGCTCCATATGTGCGTAGTACACAGAACACATCACTCTGCCCATTCTACATTTTAAAAAAACCACCGCCACTACAACTCAATGAGTGAACACATTCCTGGGTTGTCACGAATGGACTGAGAAGCCAACAATTACATCAAAATCTTCCAGCTGAAGGTCCACGTTTCCCCCCACCCCCCCCCGCAGTGTCATTCGACTTCTTTCAACCTTTCTACTTGTCTTCTTTCCTGTTTCTTTCCCCGACTGCGCCTCACAGGGGCCACGCGCACCTTAAGAACACAACTACCAGCAGCTGGAACGCTGGGACCAGAGCCTTGTTCACCTCTTAAGTGGCGAAAATGTAGGAGAACAAGGTACCGCAGCGTTGTGCTTTGGAAAATGTCTTCAGACTCTGCAGAACACGCTAAAATTAAAGTTTAGGAATCATTACACACTAGGTGTCCAGAAAACAGCTTTGGGGGGAAGAAAAATATCCACGAATGAGCATCTAAACCACAGTCTTTCGTGGGCTGGACGCCGTGGTCCCCCAAACTCCACACACACGGCTCGCCCGGCGACTCTAGTGTAAACCTCGGGGCTAGGAAGACGCAAACACTGAGAATTTCCTCTTCCGAGCCCTCCAGTCGGCTCAATGAACCTCCGGCCTAACCCGCAACGCCCCCAAGAAGTTGCTCCGCGTGGAAGTGCCGCACGCTAGAACCGACCCCCGGGCCCCCGCGGGAGGCGGCGACGCCGGCCCGCGCCGACGGGCTCCAGGAACAACAGGCCGGGCTCCGCGCCCCCCTCCCGGCGGCCGCAGCCCCTACCTGAGCGCGGAGAGTCGCCCCACGCGACCCGCCACCGCCTCCCGGCGCCTCCGCCGCGGCCGGCCGCCCACGCTGGCGTCGCGACCGCTTCCGGCTTCTTGTGGGCAGCCCCGCCTGCCCGTACGCACGCCCGGCGCGGCCCCGCCAGGCCGGGGTCTCGGCTGCGACTCCGGCCGGGGCCCCGCCCGCCACTTCCTGATTAGGACGCCGAGAGCTCAGTCCCGGCGGCCAACGCGGTTTCTCCATGGCCGAGAACGCGCCTGCGCCGTCACGTGCTCCCGCCGGGGGACGATGGGAGAGGCCTCAGTCGGCTGGGGCGTTCCTGGTCTCCATGACAACGGGGGCGGGACTGGGAGTGAAACGGTGAAGCCAGCCAATAAGGGGCGAGTAGCGGGCGCGAAAATGGAAAAAATCTTTCATTTCCAGAAATTAAAAGCTGCTAGAGTCTCTTTCAGCGAGTTCTGTGTCTGTTTAACCCGAGTGAGGACTTGATTTTCAACAGTTGAGGATCTGCCAGAGGTTTTGTGACTTTACATTAATTAAATGCCTGTGACCAGCACCTGACTTCAGATACTGTTCCTTTCACAAGTAAGAAAATAAGCGACCCAGTAACGCTTAATGACTTACTCAGGACAGCACAGCTAGCAAAGGCAAACCCTGGTGTAAAGCCCCAGTTTCTGAATGCTAACCAGTGCTCTTTGAACCGCACCCTGTGAATTCTATTAGAAATAAGGATTTAGCAAAATCAACAAAAAACTATGAACCAGAGGCACTTTTTGGGGGGCGGGAGGGGAGGGATTGGGGTCAGAATGGGGGGGTTGCAATTGTATGGTGAATATAAAAATAAAATTTATTATTAAAAAAAGAAAAATGTTACACTGATTTAAAGTGTTCTGGTCCTTCAAAATTATAAACTTGAAAATATATAACAAAAAAAAAAAGACTTAGTGCAAGGACCAAATTAAAAAAAAAAGAATTATAAGTCTAAAAGTGTAGTGGATTAAAGATGGCTGCAAATTCTTTGACTCATCCCCATGCAGAAGTAGTCTGCTTCTGCACTTCTTGAATTTGGGCTACATTTTGACTCCTTTAACCACAGGAGGAAAAAAAAAAAAGAAAGAAAAAAGGATTTAGTTTTCAGAACAACAACCACACCAAAAAAGGTAAAAGTAAAGCAGCGGGGAAAATAATTGGCATTACCCGAAATCTGCAACATATTGGAGAGTATCAGGTTTCCTAAAATTGGCTTTTCCTCTTAGAACCTAAACCGACAGCACAGACAGTTACTCAACTAATCTATACCTGTCAATTACTTAGTATTGACGACCCGTCAAGTTACTTATGTCTTGGTTTTTCTCATCTGGAAAATGGGGAAATAACTGTACTACCACCCTGGGTTAATAATTTTTCACAATTAGTTTCTTCATAGAATATTTTGTAATAAATCCATTTGATATTTAGTTGATACCCTCAGGAAATGGAATTTTACCTGAATAATAATTTTACCTGAATAATAATTAAGACCCAGAGTTTTTACAACCATCTGAGATTAACTGATAAAAAACTAATGAGGTGTAATTGGGGAAGGGGCAAAAGATAATTAGAAGGTTAAAATTGTATTGTCCTGAGAAACAGTTTTGTATCAATTTAGTGGTTTTGTCTTTTCTTTCCCCACTGATTGAATAAAGTCCAGTTTCTCAAGTCCTTATCGAATCACCACTGTCATTCTAACTCCCTTATTAATGAGTAGATGGCTTAAAATACAAATAGACAGTGGCTATACAATATAAGATAAAACTCTGGCCCATATAAGAAGCCAAGCCATGGCATCAACAGCAATCCCTTCAGAATGGTCAGAATTTGCTCAAAAGCTGCTAACTTCCCTTTTTTAATACACAGGCCTCAGTGGACCTGCTTGGGGCCAACCCTATTTGTCTGGGCATTTACCCACAAAGGGCTGGGTAATTCTGGGTGCTTTATTCAGAACATTCTTTCTTACCCTGTTTATGCTCACCAGTCTATTAAAGTTCTTTCACACTAAAAGTCTCCTTTTGTCTTTGTGCACAATGGCAGGCCTGCTTTAAGGGGTGCAAGTCTGGAGTCCTCGGGCCCTCCTTGATGGTGCACTAACAGATGTGAACACAAAGGACTATGGTGGAGGATTATAGGTGGAATGGTTGTGGTCAAGTAATACACATCTGAAGAGGAGTGAACCAGTACTTCTGAATCATTTGGTGTTATAAACCAACATTACCTAAAAAAAAATACATTAGAAAAAGGTGCTTATATGCCCAATTGCAAGGCTAAAAGAATCTTTCACAGAAAATCTGACTTCACTCTTCAATTTATTTTTTTCAAAGATTTATTTATTTATACACGAACCCGGGGACAGGCCAGATGTTCAGAAGGGTGAGAAGATTCACCAGAGACAGAGCGGGGAACAGAACCGGCAGACTGACGAAATACACTGCTGAGGGACCAGCGCGCGAGACAGAAGTCTGCTTCACCATGTGGGGTTCTCACAGGCCGGTCGGGATCAAACGGGCACTACAGAGGCTGCGGACAGCTTCACCATGTGGGGTTCTCACAGGCCGGTCGGGATCAAACGGGCACTACAGAGGCTGCGGACAGCTTCACAGTGCGGTGCTCAACCGCCTACACCACCAAAGAGGCCCCAATTTTTTTTTTTTTTTAAAGATTTATTTAGGGCCTCCCCGGTGGCACAGCAGGTTAAGCGCCATGCTGTGAAGCTGTCTGTCCGCAGCCTCTGCAGCGCCGGTTCGATTCCCAGCCGGCCAGGGAGAAACCCACAAGGCAGGACAGACCTCTCCTGTCTCGCCCGCTGCTCCCAGTCTGCCTGTTCTGTTCCCTGCTCTGTCTCTGGTGGATCCTCTCACCCTCCCACGCCTCTGGCCTGTACCCCAGTTCTTGCATAAAAATAAATAAATCGGGACTCCCCGGTGGCGCAGTGGTTGAGCGCTGGGTTGCGAAGCTGCCCGCAGCCTCTGCAGCGCCGGTTCGATCCCCGGCTGCTCCCCGGCCACTGGAGGAGGGTCCCACATGGCGCGCAGACCCCCCCTGCCGCCCGCTGCTCCCCTCAGCAGTGTACCTCAGTCCCTCTGCCTGCTCTGCTCCCCGCTCTGGCTCTGGTGATTTCTCTCACCCTCCCGCGCTTCTGACTGTACCCAGTGCTTGTATAAATAAATCAAAAATAAATCAAAAATAAATAAATAAAATAAATAAATAAATAAATCTAAAAAAAAAGAAAATTACCAAAAAATATTTATTTATGCATACAAGAGCTGGGGTACAGGCCAGACGTGTGTTGGGGGGTGAGAGGATTCACCAGAGGCAGAGTGAGGAACAGAACAGGCAGACTGACTGAAATACATTGCTGAATACACAGCGGGTGAGACAGGAGAGGTCTGCTTCGCCATGTGGGTTGCTCCCTGGCCGGGGATCAAACTCGTGCTGCAGAGGCTGCAGACAGCTTCATAGTACTGCATCTTAACTCCTTGGGCCATCAGGGAGGCCCAGCAACACATTTATTTAAATTGAAGAGTGAATTGGGTCTCCCTGGTGGTGCAAGGTGGTAAGACGCAAAACTGTGAAGCTGTCTGCAACCTCTGCAGCATGAGTTCGATCCCCGGTGGGAGGTGACCCACATGGCACAGCAGACCTCTCCTGTCTCGCTCACTGCTCCCCTCAGCAGTGTATTTCAGTCAATCTGCCTGTTCTGTTCCCCACTGTCTCTGGTGAATCCTCTCACCCCCCACACCTCTGGCCTATACCCCAGTTCTTGTATGCATAAATAAATAAATCTTTAAAATAAACAAATAAATGTGTTGCTGTAGGGTAAAGAAAATGTCAGGCTTTTCTGCCCTTCCGCCATCAGGATAGATGATGGATCCTTGTCCTAAATACATGCCTGATGGAGGGCACCTGGAATAGGGTGTGGGCATAGGTAGATGGGATTCAGCTGAGCTAAGACTGTGCTTTTTAAGGGCGGCGTCATGGGGACGCCAGGAGCAGCAGTAGCAGCAGCAGCACCAGCAGCAGCAGTAGAAGCCGAAGCCGAAAGAGAAGCCGAGAAGCAGCAGAACGAACGCCAGAGAGCCCAGATAAAGTGAAGACTTGCTGGGGGCTGGGAGGCCTGCCAGCCTCCCAGCCCCCCAGCCAGCACCCCTGCCTGCCATATGCTTGGTGAACCCCAATAAAAGACCTGCAAAACCACTAAGGACTCTGACTCCTCCTTTACCCGGTCTGCATGGGATCAGGAAACCTGCACTGTGCCCAGTCCGGCCTTTACAGTTGCTATGCAAGTCCCCATAATGACTACATTGCTTCTGAATTATAATGTAGGTTGAATTGATAAAGTGGATTGAAACACTCATTAAACACTAGTTGAACGACAGACCAAAAAAAAAGCATTAGCTTTCTAAACAGGAGTTTAATTAATTTGATAGGGATAATTTGATTCACACATGACCAGTATACTTTGATTCCACAAGTAAGCATTTGTCGTCTTTTACATTGAGTATGAATGTGAGTATAAAAGAGTCATGAGTCTCGCTGCTCCATCCCACCATTCTTGAATGGGAACAGCTAGAAATGAGGAATAAACCCTCAGGGTAAACTAAAAGAATTCTAGCAGGGCCTCCTGCTCCTGACCCCTCAGCTGGCTCCCACCTGTGGCCCTTTCTCCAGCCTCAGTGCTGTCGTGGGTGACAAGATCCTCTTCTCTTGAGAGACTATGGCAGCTGCCATCTTGACCTCATGGTAGATTCAGTGGGTGGTACATTTTGAACTTTGGTTCTCCCTTCCTATGCTAGCCCTTTGGCCCTGTGCAACTTCTTGCTTGCATTTTCTCTTAGAGTTTCCCTTAGATTCATTTTCGTGCAACCTCTGGTCTTGAGCCTTAGTCATTCCACTTTGGACCCTGTTTGGCTGAACATTTCAGAGTTTGATCAGGAGTCCATACTTTGAAATCCTCTCCGCTACTCCTCATTGCCCCTCTTGAGTTCCTTTGAACCTCTCATTGATTAAAAATCATTGATCACAATAGACTTTGATTACATGCTTTATGCATATGGGTGGGCAAGACCACTTAGATCAGGCAACATGAGCTTTTCCTCCTAACAGTCTGGGGTCCC